TAAGAGATTAAAGAGAGAATTCAAGTAAAGAAAAACACAAGCATAAGAGAAGCTCAGATTAATTCTCTATCAATAAATGAACTATGAATTCCAGATTAGTGATAAAGTCGAGTTGATAATCATAATAATCATAATATTAATAATAGTGGGAAGTATAAAACGATCTATTATTATTAATATTAGCAATAGTCATAGTCCGTTTCAAATCATGTTTTGAGGTAATACCCATAACGACCCCAAAACGTATGAATGCAAATGCTAGCTAATCTTTCGAGACTTCTCTCCATCGGCCCTCAGTGGATATATGAATAAGCTAAGTTCCGATTGCAGTAAACCGTTACATCTACGACCTTGTTGATATTCGTGGCCGTCAGAATTAATTGTATGACTATAAGCTTTATACATATGTATATAAATATGTGGATGACTTGACTTTGAGCTAGAATTTTGGTCTTGGAGAAATTGTCGATCGACGATGTAATACCCATTGAAACATGACTACAAAGAGGCATGTCAGTTTTAAATTCTCTTTTATCTCTTATTATATATAGATCGGAAATAATGAAATATATTTTTATTATCAACTATAAGCTTCGCTTTCTACAGGCTAGCTTAAGGTCGGGCGAAACGAAACTCTTGTGACTTGATATAGTTATTTGTATATATTTTGTTGTTGTTGCTGATGTTGTTATTGTTGTTGTTGTATTGCCTCGTAGTTAGCTGTAACCTCAAGCTTCCGTTTTGTGGGCTTTTTGCTTCATTGCCTATTAAATGCGATACGTAGCTCAGCTGCCGCTGTCGATGGCAATCTGAGCATCATCATTAGCAACCGAAACAGGCAATGCCAGCAGCATCATCATGATCACTATCATCATCATCATCAACAGCAGCAGCAGCAGCAGCTTTGCTGTGTCTGCACTTTTCCACGGGCATTTGCCGTCGTTTCATAAATTGCATTATCGTTGCCCGCTGCCAGTTGGCAGTGCATTGAACCCGTGCTGCGGTCCGGAAACCCAACCAGCCAATTCCGACCGTAGCCCCCCGCCCCCCACAGACGAGCCACCCAACACAGGCCATCAGCCAGCCCATGGGCTAGGTGTTTGCCAGCATTTGGCACATTTAGTTCAGACAAATGTATATATATCTCGTTTTCATTTGAATATGCATACACATATACATATGTAGTATACATATATCATAATCTGTGTCTGCTGCTGACTCACAATAGTCATTGACGCCCATTCGTGTGGAATGCTATGCCATTTAATTGTATTGGCGATTGGCATTTTCCTTCGATTCTGTTCTTGACGAAAGCATTTCACACTATTGTTATGATAACAAATTGCAATTGGCATGGGAATTGTCAATTTGATACCTAATAGGTATTGTCTATTGTTAAGAACAGTGAAAGGGACTTCTACCGTCTACATATTAATAGAATTTTGATTTCATATGTCATGTAAAAGAATGTTTTAGGCCAAGCTGAAAACAATATACGTAAATCCTCAACAATATGTAATACGCACAATAATAAGCTAGGTAATACAAATGTATTTATTTGATATAAAAAATGCTCTTGTATTAACTTAAATATTGGGTCCTGCATAATTTTTTTGTAAATTTAAAATTATAAATATTTTACATGCTTACGCATAGTTTAGTTTTTCTCTAGATTAAGATGAATATTATTCTCATCTAAGAATATATATTTATACATATACGATCATTTTCCTAATTTTCGTGTTGCTTTTACATTAAAAAAAAAAAATGTTTTCGTTTTGAAATCAAAATTTATATTTTACTCAAGTATCAAATCATGCTCAATTCATAAAACACATTTCATTCAACATATATATTGTGTATACATGTATGTATGTATTTCATATAATATAATCTCGCTCTCAATAACACATGATTATGTTTTTGAATGATGGATTGTGCTCGGCAGCCTGATCTAGTTGGGTGGCACGAATGTGGGGGGCGTTAGGTCACATGCCCGCTCGCTCGCCGGGCACTCATAACAAAATTGCCATCGAACAGTGATTCATTTCATTATTTCATTTTGTTGATGACCGCACACAAAAGAAGAAGAGAGAAAAAGTAGCGAATTGAAAACCCAAAAAGCCACCGACCATAAACGAGACCCGAGAACGTTGGCGGTGGCTGTGCGGCGTCTGGTGGTGCTGGTGGTGGTTAAATATTTGTGCATTGCAGTTTGATTAGATGGCCAGACTTGTGGCCAGGCCCAAGGGAGGAGGCCGCAGGCGGGGGGAGGGGAAGGAGAGGAGTGTAGAGAAGGCAGAGGAGAGAGGCGACACGAGCCAAAGAGGGAATATAGACAGCGACGGACGGAGGGTAGGTGTAACTCCGATAACTGAACCATTGCCCGCTGCCAGTTTCCGGGTGCCCAATTCCCAGTGCCTCGAATGCCGTGCCCAGTCGCGTGTCAAATAACTGTGCAGCTGAGGGTTGAACACCCAGCACAGGATATAAAGGAATACAGTTACGCATACATATATGTGCATATATGGATATATATGTGTGTGTGTGTGAATGTTAGGGTGCACATTCATATGGACTGATTCATGGCAGTTTTCGTGACATTTTCGTTATTGTGGTGCGTCCTGTGCTGAGCTGCCGTTTCCCATATTTGTTTTTGGCCAGCAAACAGACGTGAATGCGTATGTCTGCGAGTCTGGCTGCAATCGAGAGCACTGAGAGAGGTGTCCCAGCAGCATCTGCTCGGGCTTAGGGTCCAGCCGAACGAGCCACCCTACTGCAGCTCGGCTACTGTTCCGGCTGCCGTTGCTGTTTGATAAACAGCTTTTCTAATTAATTGCTCCGATGTCAATGATGCTGCCTGATGATGCGGCATGATGTGGCTGGCAAGCTGCTGGTCAAAGATTCCCACTGTACGTATGTGTGTGTGTGTGTGTGTGTGCCCTCCTATTCGACCCATTTGACGCGCTCATTGTGCTGACTTAATTTACAAAATTTATTGGCCTTTAATGCGCTCGAATGCGGGCTGAGCTGAGCATATCTTTTCGTTTAGTTTTAATTAGGCACGTTCATGAGATTCATTCCCAGTTGCTCAGCTCTGAATTAGTCACACGCGGCGTATGCGCAATGTCGATGCAGTTGCCACAAGAGGCAGCCTGATGAAGCCACTCAGCAGGTCAACTGCACTAAGCTGTCTAATGAATCACACAAAGAGAGAGAGAGAGAGAGAGACTAAGATAGTATGTGTGTGTGTGTGTGTGTGAGAGAGAGAGATAGAGGTCAAACTGAATATTTCACTAAACTGTTTCAAGGCAGGATAATTTGTTGGTAACGAGTCAAGGCCGCACGACGAGATGCAAAAGCTACAATTAGAGGCCATTGGGAATGCGGCAAAAGCCACACACACACACACACTCACACACACACATTTGTAACTTACAGTATACTACAAATTTGAGCAAAATATATTATAGATTGCAGATGAATTTCGCTTGGGGCTCGAATATGCTATAAAGTCATTTCAGATTGGCTTTTCTTGTTGTTTTGAATATACTAAATGTACAGTTACACAAATTACATTATATTCCACGTTTGTTTCGAGTCTTCTGAGAACAGTTTGGCATTTTACATTCTAAATTACAGTTGACTCTTCAACTCCTACGTAAGTTTGGCAACTTTCAGCCCGGTTTCTGGATATTAATAACAGTTGGCAGCCGATCCTACCCTCTGATCTAATCAGATTGCCAGCCATGACGGCGGCAGCGAATGGCTTTAATGAAATAATTAGCATAACTTTTTAATTAAAACTCATCGAAGCGCTCAGAGTTAGCCAGACAGACGCGGGCTGGTTCGGGCCTTAAGGGTGCCGGCACTGGTAGGGCTGCGCATAGGGTTGTGCCGCCACCCCGGCCCGTACGATCGAGTCCGCCTGCAACCCCCGATCTCGGGCGAGAGTGTCAGCTGGCGTGTGCGCCCCTCGAACTACCCTCATTAAGGTGTCCCATTAATCAAATGGCGTGCGATCCGACAATGCTGTTTGCCTTCTCGAAATGGACTTCCATAAGCAGTTCCCGTAATACACCTTCGTTTCACTGCTGTTGAAAAACAAGACAATAAAATTTAAATTTATGAACACTAAACTGAAATCCAACATAATCCAAATTTGATAGGAACGAAATTAAGAGTGAACTTTTATAGATTGTTGCGATTTTCGTCTTAAATGGAATTAATTACTTTTAGATATTCTA